GGCGGCGTGCGCGCCGGGAACGCCGTCCCGCGGGGAGTCCCTGAGCGGAGGGAGCCGGAGCGCGGGGACCTCGGGGGTGGGGGCCGAAGGCAATACTCACCGGTTCCACAGTCGCCATCTTAGATCGATCTGATCGCACAACCGCTCCTGAAGGGGGGGCGAGAGGAAAAAAATGAGATTCAAACCGGATTGGCCGGCTCCTGCCCACGTGACGGACGTGTCCGTTTGGCCCTGGCGGCGCCTGCGCAAGACTACAGCTGCGTGAGGACCGAGAGGCTTCTGGGAAGTGGAGTCTCTTTTTTTTTCTTAAGGCGAAGTTTTTTTTTTTTAAAAAAAAATGATCACGTGGTCTCTGGCGAGGGTGCGCGGCTCCCGGCGCCGCGGGTGCTTGCTGCAGAGTAGGTTTTAGGCCTCTGCGGTGCTGCGAGCAGAGCTCCGGTCGCAGTCACTCACTGCGGGGCATTCCCGCCGTGCCCTTTGTCGCCCAGTCCTCCCATCTTTCCTAGAAGATTGGGAACTGCAGGCTCAGCACACGCAAGAAGGCTTCATTTGCTTAGCTGAGGTTCTACGACAAGTTGCTTGTGTGTGTGTTTTTTTTATTTAGTTTTCTTTTCGCCTCCCACCATTTTCTCTTGGTTTAGGAAGAGGCGGCGATGGAGTGTCGTTGATGCGGTCTGCGTTCCCCTTGTCCCCGGTCCACTAATGCGGGTGGTCACTCGTTTCCATCGCTGCCCTTAGCGGGTGGGCGGGCTAGCCCACGGTACCCACTCGCACGCTTTGGGGGGGGAGGGGTGCACGCGTCGGCTTTTCCTGTTCCCAGTCCTGAGATGAATGCGTCAGGGTTGAATCTTGCTGGACGTAAAAAGTTTGGAAGTTCTGTCCAATCGGTTTCAGTATTCTGCTTGAACGTGAACGGAAATAGCCTACGTCCAGGTGCCAGCCAGGGAAGCCACTCGGGGCTCCGCTGACTCAGCCCTGGACTGAAGGTCAGGAGTCGTTAAGCCGGGTCAACTATGACTCTTGACGTTGACTCATGCTCCTTAGGCGAGTGACTTAATCGCTCGGTGCCTCAGCTTTTTCATTTATGAACCAAAGATGATAATACACTTACCTCACAAGGGTGTGCTGTGGTAAGGACTGTAACCAGCTTTGAAAACGCTTCGGAATCTCAATGCTTAGGAGCAAGCGCGTGCTAAGGACCAGCTGCCTCTGCCTCCGCTGCTGTTCAGTATTTTTCTTTTCCTGATACAGGGTGTCCTGTAGCCCAGGCTAACCTCGAACTTGTGGTCTAAGGGAGGATAGCCTTAATCGTCCTGCCTCCACCTCCCAAAGTACTGGGAGTTCTGGCTAGTGCCGGGGTTGGGGTGGGGTAATGCGGAGATAGGGATGGAACCCAGGGTTTGCTGAGTGCGAGGAGAGTCCTGTACCAACTGAGCGACATCCCCAACCCTTTACAATGTTTTGTTTTTCTTTTGTTTGCTTTGTTACGTTGCCTTGCACATCAATGCAGTTTTAAACTTTCAAAATCTTTTTTTTTTCTTTTCAATGTATCTGCTCTCAACAGAAGTTTTATGTTCAGGAAATTATGCTCATAACAACTTCTAACAAACAGAAATGTGTCCCCACGCTGGCATGCTGCATTTTCTTCTAAGTTGCTGGGCTATCGTTTCTCAAGACAGTGTTGAGTAATGGTTCTAATGAGGAAGACGGATCTCATTGCTCTTTCCACGCTGCTTAAGAATGCTATCACCAGGAAAAGCAGTGCGAGCTGACTGCCACCTCCCGGAGTTGCTGTTGTCTGGAGCTGTGTCATAGCTATTATTGAGTGCATAATGGATGCTTGGGTTGACTAACACATAATTGAGGCTGTGTAAGAACTCAAAGCCAATACCCTGTTTTTCTTTACCAGAAGGACAGAAATGATTTAAATGAAAGCGTTTGTTTATTCAGCACCAGTAGATTCTAAAGTAGATACAATTCTGCAAACTAAACAGCTCGGTGAATTTCTCTGCACAAATCGGTTCCACTAACCAAAGGAATTACAGTTGATCCCTCTATTTTCTGTGGTTTGTAAAATGATAGCTGGTTAACTTTGGTGAAAAGACAGCATGGAGTGCTGGGAGCATAGCTCAGTAGAGGGCTCACCTAGCAGGTTGTTTTAGATCCCCATCACTACGTAAACCCAGCGTTCTGAAGGAGCAGGAGTCCAAATGCAGCTACATGGCAAGTTCCAGGTCAGCCAAAGCAGCATGAGAATCTCTATTCAAGGAAAGAAAAGACAAGACAGCATAAATATCCTATTTATTCAGCTGCAAGATAACAGCAAAAATCAATCGGTTGGCAAGAAAATATCCCAATGAGCCGAATAGTTACTGATATAAAACTTGTGTTTTAAATGGCTTTCATTTATATTGTATTTTCTTTCAACCTTCCTTCTCTGTTGTCAATCAAGACTCGTATTTTGGGCTAGGGTGTGGCTCAGAGGTAGAATGTTTGCCTAAGACTGTCTAGATTCCATTCCCAATACCCCTGCCCTCCCCTTCTCTCCCCCCTCCAAAAAAAAAAGAAAAAAAAAACTTGTGCTTTTACAACTTATGTATGCCCCATTCTTTATAGTTTAGTTGATCTCCATGTTTTTATATGACTTGTTTCATATTTTTGACATTTTAGATGTGTTTGACTAGTATCAAGACTAAGATTTCATCATGTCAAATATATGGTGGCCAGGTTTTATGTGTTATGTCTGTCTGTATGTGACTGATTTAGTTTTCCTTACTTATTTGTTGAGTCAGAGTCTTGCAATGTGTCCAAGATGATCTTGAACTCATAGATTCAAAGGATCCTCCTACCTCATCCTCCAAAGAAGTTGGAACTAAAGGCGTAGGCTGCTGTACCCAGCTCTGTGCTAATCTTAAGTGTACAGAGCAGAATATATTATATCATGTCTTATCTACTTACAAAACATGCCTTTATCACCTTGCTGCCATGTCTATGCTGGTTTATTAAAAAAAAAGCAAAAGTTAAATTTTGAGTCAGACTTATGAATGAGAGATGGTGTTGTAATGCTGTCCTGTATGACGGGGTTGTCTAGATCACACACAACAACTTTGGTCCAGCGTAGTATCATTGTATATATGCATTCCTTATAATCCTAGGCTGATTGATTAAATGTTACTAAGCATTAGTAAATGATGATGATATTTTTCAATATAATATAATCCTCAGACTGGTATATTACCAGTGCTTTGTAAATTTAAGTAATGTTGAGGTTTCAAACAATTTGATAGAACACATTAGTCATTTCAGATGTATACTTTGTCTTTGGAGTTCTCGTTCCCTGGTTTAGGTGAATGAAGCCATTGTTTTGCCAGACTATTCAACTGTGTTTCTGTGGTGATATTTGTTTGTGATCTAACAAATAAAGCTTGCCTGAAGATCAGAGTGCAGAGCTAAACCACCAGTTAGCCATAGAGGCCAGGCAGTGGTGGCACACACCTTTAATCTTGGGATGCAGAGGCAGGAGGATCTCTGTGAGTTCCAGGCCACCCTGGGCTATAGAGATTGATCCAGTCTCAAAGAGAAACAGAGTTCACATCCTTGATCCCAGTACTTGGATCACATGCCTTTAATCCTAGCACTGGGGAGATGGAGATGGGAAGGGATATGGCTGGGCAGAGAGAGGAACATAAGACAGGAGGAGAGGAGCTCAGGCATTCAGTTGAGGACTTGTAGAGGCAGGATACTCCATTCGATCTGAGGATTTCGTAGAGGTAAGGACTAGTGGCTGACTGCTCTGTTTCTCTGATCTTTCAGCTTCCAATCCCTAATATCTGACTCTGGGTTTTTATTATTAAGACCAATTAGAAATCATGCTGCAGCTGGGCAGTGGTGGTGCACACCTTTAATCCCAGCACTCGGGAGGCAAAGACAGGTGGATCTCTGTGAGTTCGAGTTCCAGAAAAATCCTGTCTTGAAAAACCAAAAAAAAAAAAGATAAAGAAAAAGAAATCATGCTGCATACTTCAAACTAATCATACCTGCTATGATCTATATAAAATTATTACTGCTCACTATCTTGAGTTTTCATTGTTGTTTTTATTTAAGCAAGCTTTAGAAGTCCAGACATCCATAGTTCCTCATAAATACTAAGCAGCCATTTTTCTTAAGTCAGCTTTGAGACAGAAAGTATGAAGTTGGGTGATCAATTACCTTAGTGTTGTAAGCCGAACAGTACCTAGAAATAAATTCTAGCTACATCTTTCCCTTCGATATCTCTTCCTTGAGATGCAATAATGCCTGAACTATAATTTATGCTCTACTTTTAGTATTGTCATTTTTCCTTCAGGAAAGATTCAACTTAGTGTCTTCTACATGAAAATCAGCCTGAGAAATTTATTTCTGTAGCTAAGAACGTCTAGGATGGTGTCAAACTCTCATACTACAAACGCTGCTGCTCACTGTGTGTGGATCACGGACAGATGGCTTTAGTCAGTCTGTGCCTCGTTTTTCTCATGACTTATATTGTTTTATTTGGGTCCAGTGAGGAATAGTGACTGCTTCATGTACTGTGTTTGGAATAGTTTCTAGAACACAGCAAACATTCAACGTTACCCGCCATTAGAGTGATAAAATATTACACTGATGTAAATTTCTTTCTTAATTTAATTTTCTTTTTCTTTACTTTTTGGTCTTTCGAGACAGGGTTTTTCTGTCTTTGGAGCCTGTGATGTGTCTAACTGTTGTTGATGAGGCTGGCCTCAAACTCACAGAGATCTGCCTGCCTCTGCCTCCCGAGTGCTGTGACTAAAGGCATATGCTGCCACCACCCATCTTAATTTAATTTTCTTTGTCATGTATTAGACAAATGCTTTATCATTGCGCTATTCACAGCCCTCTTTTTATTCTTTATTCTCAGACAGGGCTCACTAAGTTGCCCAAACTGGCCATGAACTCACTTTGTATCCCAGGCAGAACCTGAATTTTCATTACTTTGTATCAACCTTCCATACAGGTGGCATTATAGACCTTTGCTACCAGTCCAGGCTTCTTCCTTTTTTGTTGTTGCTGCTGCTGCTACTGTTTTTAAAACAGAGACTCACTGTGTAGCCCAGGCTGGCCTGGAACTACCTAGTCCTTTCTCTGTTTCCCAAGTGCTGAGTGAGACTGAGTGTGTGCCACCATACCTGGCAACAGACATTTATTGTTCCTTCTCTTTCAGTAAAATGTAATATATGTAAGAATTCCTTTGCCTCAAGAAACAACTGCTGCTTTTTATCTTTTTAGGATGTTTCCAGCTTGTGAAACTAAACTAAAAAGTCAGCTAACATGGATTGGGCTCCTGTAATGTGCCAAGTATTTTTCATATGCATCATTTCATTTGACGTTTATAATCATGTGAATGAAACACATCCTTCCTGTTTGTTGTTGTTTAAATATAAACAGAGCGATTGCTATTAAGTGGTATGTCGAAGTCCACAGATACAAGCCATTCTTCTCCACTACTAAGATTCATACTTTCACACCATAGTTGCTTTCTTCTCATTGGGTCTTCCAGATGATGCTTATTTTTCTTTGAAATTTTTAAAATTGGTCTTTGATGTTTATGTATATGATGGGCTGGGGTTGATGGTGGAGGAAGTGAATATGGAACCCAGAGGACAACATGGTAAAATCTGTTCTCTCTTCCTACCTCTGCACGTGTTCAGCGAATCAAGCTCGGGGCATCAAGTTTGCTCAGTAAGCACCTTCACCACCAAGCCAGCTCCTTGTCACCCACCGAGCCATCCCCTTGGCTCGCTTCAAAGCACTTCTAATTACAAGCTGGTTTACAGGCCTGACAAGAAAGCATCCAGGAGGCACTAAGTCATGGGAACTATGTGATCAGTTAAGGCTATTTAAAGACACATGAAATAAATATAGGCACTTCCCTCCTGCATTTTGAAATCTGATTGGTATACTAAGTCACGAGGTATAAATAATCCAGTGTCCATATGAAGTGTGACTAAGAAGCAAGAGGGTGCAGTGAACCACAAGGCACCCTATGAGGTGTGGCCCGGTCACATAATTGCTTCCCTCATTTCATTCAAGCCTCTGTCCCATGTCATCTGACAGATGCCTTCCTTGCTCACCCCTGTAAACTAGCTTCCCCATTACTCTGTCGTAACCCTGCTTTATTTTGCCCTTACTCTAGACTTGACCTCATGCCAAACATTCTTTCATTATTGATCACCTCTGACATAAAGGTACTAGCTTCTGCATGATCTGTGAGCACAGTGTAATATTTAGAGGAAACTCAAAGACATTTTTTCCTTAAAAAGTCCAGCCTTAGAACTAATAAAGTAACTATCAGGAAAAATCCTTCAGTGTATGCCTGCTAAGTCCTTTGTGTGGGTACTTCATTCAGAACAGCAATCTGAAGTAGGCATGCCTGGTGGTTCAGGTGAGGGAGCCACTCTTAGCCAGTCTATGAGACAGACCAGATTGTAACTGGGCTGCATAATGAAGGCCATACTCCAAAATAGTGGGAAAAGAAATCATCTGTGGATAACGTGGAAAATTCATGTAAGTAGTATATTAGGCCAATAATAAGGTTAAATAAAAATAATTACTTTATACAATAGAAATCTGAATTTAGACCAGGTCATCCTCTCTCAAAAAAAATGACATGGACTTAATATTAATTATGAAAGCTTGGTCTTAGCTTGGGCGTGTTTCTAACTAGCTCTTATAACCTAAATTAACCCATATTTTTAAATCTACTTTCTCCCATGGCTCATTACCTCATCTCTCCATGCTGCTTCCTCTGCATCTGACTGGCGACTCCACCTTTTTTCTTCCTAGAGCTCTCTGTCCAGAAGTCCCGCTGTACCGCCTGCCTACCTATTGGCTGTTAGCTTTTTATTAAACCAATAAACCAGGGACACGTCTTCATAACTATAAAGGAATATTCCGCAACTTTTCCCCCTTTTTGTCTGAAACAAATTTTAATTCTAACACAGTAAAGCTATGTACAATAGGAACAATTATAAGGTAAGAATTACATTTATAGATGACTATAAATTTGATTGTTATAGATGACTATTAACCTGTATTTCTTATTATTCTAAATAGCTTTTAAGGACTAAAACTTTGCATTTTAAATGAGCTGTGTAGATACAATACCTTAGACATAAATAGAAACATAAATACAGTATAACAAAAAATAACCTTAAATTTGAATCAATATACAAAATTCCATACTAATGTAAAATATGACGCAACAATCCAGCCTTTTATCCCATCGTTTCTATACTATACCCCTTTTTCCCATTAGAAAGAACTTCCTGAATCTGATCTCCTTTGTTTCCCTTTATACCTGACCATGACCAGTCACAGTTTGTAACCAGCCCCCCTAATCAGTAACAAACATCCATAACCCACCAAACAACCGAAAACCAAATAATCTGTGAGGCTGGATCACCTCACTAGCAGCCGTGAAGCTGTTCTGGATGCAAAACTCAGGAAACGGCAACCCACAGTGCCTCTCTGAGAGGCCGGATCACCTGTGCTACCTGCTTTCATTGGTGTCTGGTCCCCTTGCTCTGAAAGCACACAAACTTTCAAAAGTAACATACATATCTGCATTAACACAAGCAGGGGTCTCCCCTGATCAAATCTGATCTCCATCAACCGTGAATGAATCCACAGCTTTTCATTTTCTATGGCTACAAAAGCATAACCCCTTCCACAATGCAACATATCGTTTTACTTTCATTTTGAAGTTAAGACTTTTGGCCGGACAGTGGTGGTGCACGCCTTTAATACCAACACTCAGGAGGCAGAGGTGGGCATATCTCTGTGAGTTCGAGGCCAGCTTA